GTTAATCTAAGCCACACACAAAGGTAACTTTGTAGTGAATTTTTAAAAGATTATATCCTTTGGTGGATATAGATTACAGCACAAGAAAAAAGGTTTGATTGGTTTAGTCAAGGAATTAGAAATACTTTCTTTAATGGGTGATCAAAAACAAAACTGTGCTCATGGGATGCACAGTTTTGCTCACAGAGTTATGCTCAAAGAGTGACAATGATCTTTGGAACCTGCAGTAACCAAAATTTAGCATAAGGTAGAACCTGAGTCTCCAGGCATGAAGAAACAAGGATTTGTTGGGAATTTGGGGGAATTACTGACCTTGAGAGAGATACAGAAATTCCAAAGAAACAGAAGTTTGCTTTAAAAAACATTAACATATTTCTACAGAAGCAGCATACATGGTAGTTAAGTGCCCACCAGTCGTTGTGCCTGGATTTAAAGCCCAACTCCACCATTTGCCAGCTGTGTGACCTTGAACAAGTTACTTAACCTCTCTGTGCCTTAGTTTCTTCATTAGCAAGAACGGGAGGAAATAACAGTACCTACATCATAATTAATACATGTACAGTGTATAGACTGGAGCCTGATACCTAGTAAGTAATAAGAGATTTTTAAAAGTGCTTTATAAATGAATATTGACTATGAAAGTAGAAAGTTCATGGCAGAAGATATGAAAAATACATGAACGAATTAGAAAAATAATAAAAAATCAAGTGTGATACCATTACCTACACATGACACATTGTCAACATTTTGGGATATGCTTAAGAAAAGCAATTTTCTTAAGCAAAACTGGAATCATTATTTACGGTCTTTTGAAAATTGCTTTTTGAAATTAAAGGCACATTGAGTATAGATTTATTTCGAATATAATTTCTACACTCAGGTTCCAAAAACAGCCCAAATATCACCGCCCTACTCTAGAATCTTCTGGAAAAGTTTTCAACAAAAGACTCAGAACAACAAAAAGCACACAACTAATTTTTATACTACACTTAGTAACCATAGGAAGGAGGCCCAAGGCTTCCAGAATTGAAGAATTACACAGTAACATATAGCATTAACAGAATATTTCAATTCCTTCGCCCCCAAAGCACGTAACTACAGAGCAACTTCTGTCTCACTTTGCATGGTCCATAAGTAGTACTGTAACTCTTTCTTTGAAAAGAACAAACTAACTTGATTTTTGTGAAGTTAAGTTGCCAACATTATATTGGGTTAAAATGAAACAGGACAAAAATCAGAACTTTCAGCCCATGCTGTATCTTTGAAAAATATATCTTAACTTTGATGCTAAATAGATTAAAATTAAGCATGATTAGTCTTTACCATCTCCTCCCTCCCACCAGCATCGACACCACGCACTAGCTATATTTTCCAGTCCAGTTTCTTCAGGGTAAAACACTTTCTCATGAGACTGCTTGTGGTCAGAGCTGACTATGTCACAGGAAAAACGCTTCTCATGATCTCTAGATCATACCCCTTCCAGGTCTAGCCTGAGCATTAAATACAGACACACCCGGAAACTGTAAATGATTTTAACAACAGGACTTTTTCCCACCTCAAAAGTGGGATAATCTTTGCAGCCTACCTATGTCCTTAGGGTGTCCTGAGTATTAATGAGTTAACATTAGTCAGGCACTTTGATTTTTGCAGACAAAGGGCTCTGTATAAGTACAAAGTATGATTATCCGACCCAACGGCTTTTTGGAGAGTCACCCGAGATGACAACAGAGGAGGCAGAAAAGCTACTGTTTCCATCACGGTCCTCTCAAGAGTAAAGCCACCTCCTAGTGACATGCAGGGCAATACTGGTGGGAGCTACACTGTGTCTCAGCCTCTGCTGCACTGTTCCCTTATATAGTCAATGAAGAGGGAATCCCTTCTGTGTGCATATTTTCAACCCACATTCCAAAACACTATAGGCAACGAAACAGATTTTCAGCTGTGATTTATAGGGCTTGATACGACTGGGCCAGGCACTGTGCTGGGATCACGCATATCATTTTTTTCAGATGTATATAAGCGAGGAAGCCCCTACAGAAAACCACGCTCCAGGTTTCAAAGAAACGTGCCAGTGTGCGCAGATGTATCGCAAATGCCTGTGTAATAAGAACATCTACACGTAGCCGTGCAAACTCCACCTGAGAAATAAAACCAAAAAAGAAAAAAAAAAACCGATAAATTTTAGTTTGCTTATTTTAAAATCTAGATTTCATATAAATTTGAACCTTTCCCTTGGCCTCTGGAGGAGCTGACCTGAGATAATGACAACCTTGAAGATCACAAAATACATTACATAATATTAAAGACTACAGGTATTTTTGAGGGATAGAGACATGCCAGTACACTGACTGCATTGCAGCGTCTGCCTGACGTTTTTAAAAAGAGGAGCAGAACATTGGGCCTCTAATAAATCATGTTGTACCCTGGCCACAGACATTAGATCTAAAATCAGAATATAGCCTTCAACAAAACTGTAAGAGCTACAGACTTGTCCAGTGGTATTCTGATTTCAAACACACACGTACACACCCACAAAGTAGAGCTACTGAGGCAGGCCTACTTAAGCAAAGTAACTAGAAAAAGCCTAACTACTGAACAAACTAATCCTGGTAAATCTTGTCCCATAAAACCATATGCTGCAATAAACCGATTCTCTCAGCGAAAAGCCTGGCAAATTCTCAGAAGGTAAAAATGCTCCGGAGCCTTCAGGGTTAACTCAATTGCCTTTAAAAGAAAAAGGACACATATAATTTCCTTTTAT